CTCTCTCTCTCTCTCTCTCTCTCTCTCTCTCTCTCTCTCTCTCTCTCTCTCTCTCTCTCTCTCTCTCTTTCCCTTTTTTTTTTTTTCTTTTAGAATATGGTCGATATCTCGATTGAAGCGTGTCATCGTCGTGCAGGGGCCTTGTTAATCTTCTCTGTATCGTTCCAATTTTAATTTTGAACGGGAAGAGCCCGGCAGGGAGTACGACACTGTTGGAAGAATTTTAGAAGGGATTGCTAGGGATTCTTGTGGTTTTGAGCATTTGTAGGATCGTTGTGGTGGCGATCTTTTCTTAAAAAGTTCAGAATTTTTATTTTTTATTTTTTTTAAAGCTATATTCTTCTCTCAATTTCACCTCACACTACCTACCTACCACTACTCCTAATTGTAGGCATACGGGGAACCCCGTAGCAGCCAGAACCGTGTTCACGAGAGAACATGCGGGGGCTGCTCCCGACCTGCAGGTGGGCGATACCGGCTAGGGGACAGCTGGTAGCATCAGGGACCATGCCAACAGGACCAATCCTTGTGCCTCCCCTCAGGTTTGTGCAGTTTAGAAGGAAACTTCTCATATTTTTTCTCCTCATATTCCTTCAGATTTTTTCAGACCTTTCTGAATTATAGCCTATCTGGTGGGGTTCTTCATCGAATAGGCTAGTAATTGATCATGATCCTATTTTCAGACAAAACCAGGTAAGAGTCCCGGTATCTCAAAGTTATTTCTGTATATGTTCTCAAACATGTTTCATGTTTCAAATGGGACGCTGGCCCCGGTTCCCAGCACGTGCAGCTCCCCACGAATAGATTGGAGCATTTTTCCAAAAAAAAAAAGAAAAAAAAAAGTGACGTGAGAGAAAAATATATGGCTGTCCCCCAATGACGAGAAGGCAGCTTTCAGAAAAACAAAACAGAAAAAAGGAAAAAGGAAGATGCCAATGGAACAGAGAGATGACAGGAAGGTGGTGGGGGGTCGTCACAATGTGCAACATAGAATGTGCAAAATGGAGCACGTACCTTCTGCAAGAACATAGAAAGATACATCCGCAAGAGGTTTTGTTTTTCCCACATTCTAGGAGTGGTGTGGCCATGCCCATAGAGATCTTTTTTTTTTTTTTTTTTTTTTTTTTTTGGACCCATAGAGATCTTGAAGTTGGATGAAAGAGCAATAATCCTGTGGGCTTGAAACAGAACCAAACAAAGTGATACTTATGGAGCTGCACTTTCACGGTAAATCCATAGCAATCTAGGCTTCCCAAGCTGCCAGGGCGGTCGTGCACCTGCGCAGCCTGTGCGGCCAGGTGTCTGCATGGGTCACCCGTGCAAACTTTTTTTTTGTGAATTTTTATTTATTTATTTATTTATTTATTTATTTATTTATTTATTTATTTTGGGTGATGGGCCTCTGCTGCTGCTATAGAGATCTGCCCGAATCTGCCCGTTTCGGACTTGTTGGGGTTGGGTGGGGCGGGGTATGCACTTTCGCGTTAAATCCGTAGCAATCTAGGCTTCCCAAGCCGCCCAGCTGGGCTGGCATGGTCGTGCACCTGTGCAGCCTGTGCGGCCAGGTGTCTGCAGGGGTCACCTGTGCAAGCTTTTTTTTTATGTGTGACTTTTTTTGGGGTTATGGGCCTCTGCTGCTGCTATAGAGATCTTCCGTAATCTGCCCTTTTCGGACTTGTTGGGGTTGGGTGGGGTGGGGTCTGTGTGGGCCTGTGTGGCTGCTGTGGCAGGGGGGGGGGGGGGGGGGGGGGGGCTCACTGACTCTGTGTCTCAGACTCTCAGATGCTTTTCAGGTGGGGTGGGGCAGGGAGGGGTCTCACTGACACAATGAATGCTTGGGATCAGCTTTTGCAGGGCACAACCCAGGCCCCTGCTGTCATTCTTTTTTTTTTCCCCCATTTTCCCTAGACCCCAGTGAACACACCGCACACACATAGCGACACTCAGACAGACTCATAACACACTGAAAGTGATCTGAGTCTCTCGAAGTATGTCTGTGTGTTCGGTGGAGGATGGTGTGAGTGGGAGGGGAGGTGGGATATGGCAAGAGGAAGGTGGAGGATGGTGGGAGGGAGGTTGGAGATGGCGGAAGAGGAGGTACGAGGTGGCAAGAGGGAGGCGGAGGACGATGGGATGGAGGTGGAAGATGGCGGAAGAAGAGGAACGAAGTCGAATGGCAGCGACGGTCACCCGACCGGCTGAATGGCAGCATGGCAAGACACAGCGCCCTCCCTCCTCAGGCCCACAGCATTTGAAATTGAACTGGAAATGCGTCGGAAGAGCGTGGGGCCTGCGGAGATCCAACACAAATATCTGCCATAGATCTTCAAACATTAACGGCGGAGATTAGGAGTCAAAGCACACAAAATTCTTAAGGTCCCCCCCGCCAGCCGAAAAAAGAATCGACACATGGAGGGGCCTTCAAAAATTCGCGCAAGGCCGAAACCAGCAACGGCTACCCTGGAATGTCCCCCAAGGCCATAGCCCCAGGGACGCACGGGGGCCGCATGGGCGACCCGCATGGCCCTGCGGCCGTGCAGCATCCGTGAGTGTCGAGGGGGCCCATGCGAACGGAACTGAAGCCCAGGTAGCAATCTTTTTTTTTTTTTTTTTTTTCCCTTTTAAGAAAGGGCGACGGCCTTGAGATATCATCTTGAAACTGACCAGCACCAGGTAATTTAGGAAGGTAATTCGGGAATTTCATTCATCAACTTCCATCTGGACTCGAGCTCAGGTCTGCATTTCCACAGTTTGTGGGTGTGTACCAACTGGGCTTTTAGCCTGTTGGTAGCGAGCAATCGATTTAACCATTTCACAGAAACGAACCTGAAAACACCAGGATTTCCAGTCCTTCGCTCTAACCAACTGAGCTACCTAAACAAAAAAAAAATAAAAAAAATGAAACTATGTTCAATTCAGAAAAGGTAATTCAACGACTAGCAAGGACAAAGGCACATTTTGGTAATCGTACACCTACCCCTCAGATTTTCAGCCATATCTGTACGGATTACGAAATGAAATCGCTATTATTGATTTTTTAGAAAGAACACTTCTTTATTTACAAAGAGCAAAAAAAAAAAAAAAAAGCCTACTCCTGATAATGAGGACAGAGTACTCAAAAATAAGAAAATAGGCACGAGCTGCTTCATAGGCTATCCGACTCGTCAGGTATAAAGAGGCCGCAGCAGTGGGCCTGACAGAAACCAACCCATCCAATCATTCCAATGTAACAATGTTCTGTCCATCTACATTTTGTCGCTTTTCAAGGCCTAACCCACACTAGCATGAAGTGTCTGGCAATTCACAAAAAAAAAAAAGAAAAAAAAAGTCTAGCAACGCCACACAACATCCGTCAATTGAGAGCAACATGAACACAAACAATAAAAAAATGTACATGGATTACCCGTGACCAGCTTGCTCGTTCGGTTAGGCAAAATGTGATCGTATGTGACGTATGTACATACTTGCAAGCGAAACAAGGGCGGCCCGCGTATTAGCCGATGGCAAACAGGGGCCCCCGAGTACAACCAGGAGGAGGCATATTTTGGTCGCGTCTCTTAGACGGGGGTAGTGTTTTCACAAATTCACACCCTCCTCAGTCACCTCCAAGGTTCTATCACCTGCTCTTCACCTCCTGCTTGCTCACTTCTCCGTGCACCGCTTGCCATTTTTGAAGTCAACTGACACACCTACACTTTTCCTCGGTCGATCTAAGCGCCAAGAAGAGGATAAGATAGACACAAGTGAATATTCACTGCAAAGTGCTGCTGCAGCGCCGCTGCAACCCCAACAAGGGCCTACATATGGTGCCGGCATCGCTCATAGATGACATACACAAAGACAAAAGTTTAATGACCTCAACTAAATTTAACAACAACAACAACAACAACAACAACTTGGACGGCTTGTTGCTTGGACCGAAACCCTCACTTGTGCTCAGCACCAAATGGAGGATAACAGAACAGACGAATGCGCTTGTGACAAACATGGCAAACTCGCTCAAAAGGAGGAGGGCTGTTGCGGCAAATATTATAAGACCCCTCAAGAGGAGGTAAAGTGCTGAGGACCCCTCACAACACCGTAACAAGGATGAGCCGCAGCTTCACATCTTGAGGGGTCTTACAAGACCCCCCTTTTAGCAACTTAAGCGACTGCGCCTCTCAAGGGCTTTGCAGTTTGAGGGGTCTTCTTACACCCCACTTTTGGGCTTTCGCAACTTAAGCAAGCGCACCTCTCCAAGGCTCAGAGTTTATTTAGGTGACTCCCTAGTCCCTCGCTAAAAATAGATCTAAATTTCTTCCAAATCATAAATGATGTAAAGTCTACAAAGTAGTACAAACTCCTAAACTCAAAAGAGATTTGATCTTCCCCACAAACTATTATACAGTTCACCGTATCTTATTAGCATGCGCCTCACGTAAGAACAACGGGGGACGAGGACGGGGTGGGGTTGTGAGGGGGGGACGGGGTGGGGGAGGATGAGGATGAGGCAACAAATGCAATTGCTTCAAACGCAACTAGATTAATCTGTTACTTGCGCAAATACATATCGGTATGAAACACTGGTTAAAAACAAACAAACAAACAAACAAACAAACAAACAAACAAACAAACAAACAAACAAACAAACAAACACTGGTAAGCTGTAAATTAATGTACACTGCGACTTTTGCGCCTTCTGCTCATCGCCATGCAAACACCATCGACACGTCTGCACCTCTCAACCAATATGTTGAGTCAAGTACCACAACCACCCGTCTGTCGCCACAAAAAAAGGGAAAAAGGGAAAGAGAAAAAACCTACCAAGTTAGGAATGAACTTGACGGAACCGATCTGAAAAAATATTCACCAAATTGCTGAATATCAGCAAACTGCTGGTTATTCAACAAATTGCTGCAAGAAACTGTCCCTTTGAACACACAGGAAAGGATGACCACTGGAGAACTGCCCATTGCCAAATGAAATTGTGGTGAGCGCCGGAATATCTTTTGATTGAAGCCTTGAAGGAAGAGGGACTGTCTCCTCTGCCACCTGCCCGAGGCCATCAACACGAGGACAGTCCAAAGATTTCCAGGAGAATGTACCACCACCTCCTCCTCCTCCTCCTCCTCCTCCTCCTCCTCCTTGCCAGAGCCACAGGATGTAAATGCAATCTGAGGACTTCTCCAACGTTAGACGGTATTTGACGGCAGAGAGACACTCTCCTACTCCTCCATCGGCTCGTGGTGAAGGTTTTGAAAAGGTAACATAATCCAGAGATTTCCCAAGCTTCTGCCACCACCACCACCACCTCCTCCTCCTCCCCCTCTTCCTCCCCCTCTTCCTATCCTCATGTCCAGGAGTGCCAGCCATAAGCACATTCTGAAGACGTCCGGATCGCTCACAATGTACGCTGGGCGGCCATGTAATGTACATGCAAGATGCGAGCACACTGAGGAGAGTTGTCAACCATTAGATGGCATATGATGGCAGAGAGGCACTCCCCTACTCCGCTATCAGCTCCTGCTGAAGGTCTCAAACAGGTACCATAATCCAGAGGTTTCCCAACGATTCTGCTATCTCCTCCTGCTGTAGTCATGGCCACAAGTGCAAGATGCGATCACACTCAGGAGATTTCTTCTTGCATCGTCCATAGCATTTGCTGGTTGGCATGCTGCCCATCATCCTCATCATCATCAATGATACCTCCCTGCATCACATGTCCCACCTTTTTGTGTGTCAGCAAAGGAAGGGGATGAGACATATTCACACCAGCAGCGGAGTTCCTCGTAGCATTACGGAGACGAGTGCACAGGCAGTGGCCTTGTCCATAGTGAAACATCCACACAAACCAAGATTCTACATGCCAGTCTTTCCAGAACTGCACACAACCATTGAGTCCATGTAGCAACATATGCACAAACAGATACATTCTCTGCCCACTCTATTGACCAATGCATGCTGTGCTGTGCAAAATCTGCACGCACAACAGGTGTGCACTGAAGAGAACAGAAATGCAATTCACTTTGCTCTTTGTTCCAACGATATATCCAAAATTCCAAATCCTTCGGTCTCTCTGGCCCTTTCTTCTTCTTCTTCTTCTTCTTCTTCTTCTTCGTTCTCTCTTCTTCTTTGGTCTCTATCTCTTTGCAAGTGCTCTCATTTCTTTCGCAAATGGGTGGCATTGTCTTTCCTTGTGAATTTGCGCTCCGGAAAGGATTGTAACAGAAGCCTGAGAAGAATCGATGACTGATTCACCCGTTTTCAAACTGCAGGAGCCGGGGAGGTAAGATTCTTACCTCCTGAACCAATGACCTCCCAATGTAAATCATCTTCATCCTCTTCATCACTATCTTCACCACCACCGGAAATTCTCGGCGGTGAACTGACTGGCTTCGGTGCGGCTGTATTGCGAAGCTCTTTCCAGTCCACCCCTTTGAAGAATGGGTGAGTCTTTAGTGCCCTGTACCCGCCTGGGCCTGCACCTAACCGTTTGTCTGGGTCAGCATCCTGCAGAGGCATAAGACACAAATCGCCAGTCATGGGTTTGCAATCAGACTCGCTTTCATTCACACTTCACATGCATACACACAAGTTGCGCAGCAAACTGGCGACAAGCGCCCACCTCAAACTCAGAGATATGGAAACCCGGAACACCGTTCAGAACTTCAGATACAATTCCACTTCAGATGGCTATGGCGCATCAGCGCCTGTACAACTCTCTGTTCGTCACTTGCTCAACACTACTGTTCGCACACAGTATCACCCTGGATATCGCACACGCAACACACTGTACACTCGCACACTCACACACGCCACTCTCTTTCCTATCAGCTATGGCGGCTATGGCCGCTGCTACCCTATCGCTATGGCTAAGCTTCCTTCTCGCCCACTTCGTCTTCAGGCCTACTGCAGACCACCTCGCACAAGTCGCTGTGGCAGCGCTTCCGCATGGCTTATGCAGGAATGAATGAATGAATGGGCGCTGCCTCTTGATTTATACTTCTGTAACTCGTTGGTCTGCCCCTCTCCACCAGGCCTATGGTGCACACAGTCCCTCATGGTACTTGCTTGACTGGACTGGGACTGCTGGACTGGTACCGCTGACTGCATGGGTTTGCACTGCCAACTCAATGCAGTCGCACTGCCGACGTAATGCAGCTGGGCTCACCACTTGCCCACTTGCCTCTGACTAAAACGTGAGGCAGCTTCGAAAGGCCACTTCCGGACCTTCCGGAAGTCTGTGGACTTGGCCTTTCGAGTACTGTAGCAGCTACGACCTTGACCTTTCAGGACTGTAGCAGCTACGACCTTGACCTTTCAGGATTCCTACAGCTACGACCTCTACAGGGCTGTAACTCCTACTTGACAGATCAACAGATCGAACCCCTACCATTACACAGACCTACGACAGACAACAATGACTCTCAAAACACAGGTCACGGGTTCAAACACTCGGGGTCGACACTGATACTGTACACAGGTGAAGTGAGGGCTAGGGATCGAGCCCTGGGACCTGCATCCACTACTGCTAACAGGTGAATACCGTTTCAGGCTTCAATAATGTGAAAAAAGGGAGTCATGATGGGCACACCTCACTGGCCTGTAAGTCTGTAGTGTGCTACACTGTCATGATGGGCATTGCTGACGTTTTGACACAGATCTGCACTTGTTAATAGGGGCAAAACCTCGCTGGTGAAAAAAATTACGAGAATAAGGGCCTACGGATATCAAATGCAATGTGGCCATGTCCCCTATACCCTCTGCAGGGTTCGTCCTCCTGAAGCATCAAGGTTCCCTGTCCAGTCTCCGTAGGCTCACACGTAAATTTCTGAAACATAGTTCAGCCTCGGCAGAGTCGGCACTACACCGTTTTTTTTTTTTTATTAACAAGTGGACCCCGCCACAGCTACGCCGTGGTGCACAGCAACACTCGCTGATACCCTCTCTCTCTCTCTCTCTCTCTCTCTCTCTCTCTCTCTCTCTCTTTGTGTGTGTGTGTGTGTGTGTGTGTGTGTGTGTGTGTGTGTGTGTGTGTG